AACCTCATCGGGAAACAACAAGCGGGTCAGAACAAAGAGCCGAGAAGGAAGAGGAGGAAATCGCTTGAAACATCCTCACACATCTTAGTAAAATTGCACAAATCGCCGGAGACATCCTCGCATTTCTTCTCAGAATTTGCCAAATCGCTTGAGACATCCTCACACTGTTTAACAGAATTGTCCAAATCGCCTGATCACCCTCACATTTCTTATTAGAATTGGCCAAGTCGCTGGAGACATCCTCACATGTCTTAATAGAATTGGCCAAGTCCCCTGAGACATCCTCACATTTCTTTTTAGCCTTCGTTCGTGTACTCGTTCGTTTCAGTCGCGTCCTCATTCGTAGTCTGCGAGGGTCGCTGCTTTGTTCGGAGTACCTCGATTCCATGAGGATCATGAGGAAAACGATGTTTATTATCCGTATTGTTACAATCAGTCGCATTATGCTTCTCATTTGTCGTATTATTCGTTTTCTTCTGCTTCTTATTTTTCTTATATTCGTTCGTATCTTCGTATCTTCGGCGACGACGAGCGCGATCTGGCTGTCACACGGATATTTGTTTTGGCCGGGTGCTAAAATAACGCCACGGTGCGGGGTGGGGGCGATACCCTCGGGTGGACCACCCCCTACGACGGCCGAAAAAAACGCACTTCTCTAAAGGATTTCCAGTAGAAACCTCATCGGAAAAAAACAAGCGGATCAGAACAAAGAGTAGAGAAGGAAGAAGAAGCAATCGCTTGAAACATCCTCACACATCTTAGTAAAATTGCACAAATCGCCGGAGACATCCTCACATTTCTTGTTAGAATTAGCCAAATCGTTTGAGACATCCTCACATTGCTTAACAGAATTGTCCAAATCGCCTGAGCACCCTCACAAATCGCCTAGCATCACGGTAACAGTAGCGTCACGGTAGCAGTAACAGTAGCATCACGCCATCAGGTTTCATCGTCATCACGGTAGCAGTAACAGTTACGGTGTCAGCAGTACCTGTGACACTCGCCTTATTCTTATTATTGTTCTTATTCGTATTTTCATTCGTATTCTTATTATGACTACACTTCCAATTGGGATGCCATCCGAGGCGGGGCGCAGGAATTATTTACTTCCCTTTCAAGTGCGCGGTGCTAATTATATCGTTCGGCGAAAACCCCACAGAATAATTATTTAATTACGATGCGGTGCTAATGATAACCCCGGGGGGTTCCTTAATTGCTTCATGAGGTTATCGGGCCGCGTGGCGGGCCCGGCGACAGGCAGGGTCCGGGCCTGCAGCCCACGCCCAACAAACACTCGGCTCGAGACTCAGGTCCCAATGTCAGCGCAGAAATCTTCCAAGCAGGCAAAAGTAAGCGGAACTTCAGCCGCAGCACGGCACAGCCATTGCACATTATCCGCCCAACTCATGATAGAAGCTGAGAGATTGCGGGAGGTAGCCATCATGTGGAACACAAATGTCGCAATGATGGAGGCGAACACTGACAGGGCACCCCCTGAGGGTACCCCGTGGTGGTGCACTTGGGGCGGCCCAAGCCTCCGCCGACCTGGAAATAACGAACCGTGCCGGACAAGTGCGCACCCCAAGCCTGCACGAAGCTCACCGGGATGCCTAAGCACACGCAGGCGTGTGATTTCTTTGTGCGATGGTCAATTCAGCGTAGAACTGCCATGTACGGGAGACAACGCGCTAACACTCCCATCGGGCCTGTGATTGCTTTGCACGTGCAAGGCAATAGCGGGCCCGATTTGAGTGTACGTACATATGAAGCGCACGCAGTTTTTTAACATAAATAAAAAACATCAGTTTGATCAAGTACACGTACTTGATCAAGCCGCTAAGGTTTTGGTGTTGATAGGCGTGGTCACCATATGAGTCATAACCCATGACAATTTTCCGGCGCAAGCCGCAAGTAACAGTTGAGCGGTGTTGTGCGGCAGTGATGTTCGCGGTTGGGTTCGCAGGTACATGTTCATGCGACGTGTTGCTCATCCCTCAGGCCAGTATTATGGCATAGTTGGCATTTCGTTACACTGTGCAGTGGCATTGGTGAAAAGGGTCAAATGAAGGGAGGGCGTCCAAGTGAATTCTTCACGCTTCGCGTATCTTCAACAGCCAATCCAGAACAGTCGCCCAAGCGAGTTGCCTTGATTAAGACAGCGCAGAAGCAGGCAGTGGAAGAAGCTTGGATCAGCCAGACCCAGGACGAGGACGAGGACGAGAACGAGGAGGAGGACGAGGAGGAGGACGACGACGACGATGAGGACGAGGACGATAAGGATTACCAGGAGGTGGACGAGGAAGATGACCAGGAGGTGGACGAGGAGGAGGACGAGGATGCACAGGAGGGCGAGGGGGAAGAGGACGAAGACGAAACGGAACAGAACGAAGACTCTGGTAGCCGTCTCGGGGTCTTTGGAGACCCTTTCAGGGTCCTCTTGGGGCTCTTTCGGACCATCTTGGAGCTAGGTTATTGGGGTCTTTTCGGGGCTCTTTTGGGGGTCCCTGCGGCTTTCTTGGAAGTTCTGAGGGGTTCTGAGAGCACGTTGGGCCGGCTTCTGCTTCTTTTGGGTTCTCTTGGCGGCATGTCGGGAGCCATTTTGAACAATGTTCGGCTATCTGGAGCTATCTTGGGGGCCATTTTGGAGCATCGGGGGGCCTCTTGGAGCCATCGTGGGGCCATCTTGGGCGCTCTGTCCGCTCGCGATCCTTCCCAATAAAACTTCAGGGAGGCGGTGGGGAGGGCACTCCTCCCCTCAACCGTCTGCCCTTGATAATCACAGGGTGGGGATAATACACTGTATTCCCGGCAACTCGTGTGTACGATGGCATGCTCGTATGGTATAGCGTTGTCTTGCTCGCTCTGGCGGGGCCTCCATGGAGGGGTCGGAGGAGCATGAAGCCTGAGAAATCGCATGGTGGAAATCCCATGGCCTTGCCACGCGTCGTGAATTAGGAAAGCTGAAACGGTGAGAATCCCACAGCCCTGCCACACGTTCGTGATAGTGCTGTTATTCAAAATAGCAGGATCGAAACTTCGATTCGTGCTTTCCCCGGCGATCACATGAAGCTCTGCCTCGCCGCTCCTTTCCCTGGGCAGTTCTGTCTTGACCGGGGATGATCAATTCTTAGGGGTTGGGGGGGGGATGCTTTATTATCCTGCGTGCTCGGTTGGGGAAGAGCGTTTGGGAAGAGGAGCGAAGACTGTTAGCCAGCGTGGGCCCCCTACAGAGCGCTACTGCATTGGGGGTGAGCACTATGCGATGACAGCTATTTCGTGTACGCTATATGGTGTGAGCAGTGGACGTGGAAGCTATGATATGTAAGCTATGCGTTGACAGATACGCGGTGCAGGTTAGGAGGTGAACCATGGAGGTGGAGGTTATGCGGTGCAAGCATGTGCAAGGTGTGTCATGGAAGCTATGCGAATCGGAGGTGGAGGCTATGGGGTCAACGCTATGTGATGTAATGCATGGTGTGCAGGCCGTGCGGTGCATGCTATGTGTTGAACGCTACACTGTGTAAGCTCAGAGCATCGGGCGCTCACGAGGCGCCCACGATGCATCACGGGCGGCAGTGTGGTGCAAACCCACGATGACCCCAATCGCGGGGCGCCCACGAGGCAGCACGGGCGGCAGCAAGGGCGCAAACCCAACACACCAAACCAATTGTTATGGCCAGCAACCAGACAAGAACTCTCAAGTGCAAGCACTGATTTGGGAACAGTGTTAGTCTATCTACGCCTAGAGGGCTGGTGGGATTCAAAACGCGCGCGCGCGCTCGAAACGACGCGTTCACTTGTCAGCAGAAGCGTGTAGTAAGGGCAGGAGGAGCTTTTAGGGGATTCGCGAACACGTCCGAGGTAAAAGGGGGCTCATAGTGTCTCAGAGGCTTCTGGGGGGCCTCCCTGGGGCAACTCTTGGTCCGCGTCGAGTCTATCCCTCCACTCAGCGGGCTGTGCACTGAGCGGGGAATGAGCGGCGGTGTCGAGAATGCACCACCAGGGTTGGAGTGGTGCCTGCCGGGGCTACATGGAATCGTCGGGGGGATATGCTGGGGCCTCGTAGGGCCTCCTCGGGGCGACGGTTGCGCAGCCAGCAGCCCCGCAGGGGGCCGCGAGGTCCCGTGCGGGTTGGCGCGAGACGTCACTCAACGCACACTGGAAGGAACCTCTCGAGCTTTCGTCAGGCCTGCGCAGTGTCCGTAGGAGGCAGAGCACAGCTGAGCGCAGGCGGGCTTGCGGGCAGCTGCGGAGCTCGGACATGCAGAAGCCAGGTGCGGACGACGCTGCAAAGGCCTAGGAGAGCAGAGCACTGACAGCGCGAGCACCCTTGCAAGGAATGACAATTGCGCACTTGAAGACCAACAGGGGGCAGCGAGCTCCCGTCTGAGTGCTTGCGTCTGTAAGACGCCACTCCCATTCCAGGAGACGACGAACACGGCGACACTTGCGAGGTTGGCAGCTTTCCACTGAAGCGCGAGGGCCCGGGTGGGTGTGCGTAAAGCGTCACTCCCAATGATCTCCGTGGGGCTCAAGGAATTGGCGGTAAATGCCGGCTGGCAGCTTCGCAGGTGGCCGCGAGGTCTTGCCTGGGTGTGCGTAAGACGTCACTCTCCTGGACTTCCAAGGAGCTAACGAACATGGCGAGAGTTGCGCAGTTGGCACCCCCACAGGGAGCGCGAAGGCAGGCATGACACAGAAGGCACATTGAGAGAGAGAGAGAGAGAAAACAACAACAAAAAACACACAAAAGCTGATAGGGAGGGATAGAGAGAGAGAGGATGCGGCGGAGGAGGAGGAGGAGGCAAGAGAACCGAACTCGAGGGAGGGCCAGGGAAGCCAGATCCCAGGGAAAGCTCCGGGGCCCAGGACGAGTTTTTCGCGGGTCTCCTTGCCCCGTGCTGTCACAAAACATAGCCACGAGGGGGCTGTTGTAGGAGCATGGGCATGTCAGGTGCCAGGGGCGCGTTATGAGTTCATCGTCGCCTTCCCCTCCCAAGGAGATCCTGATGGCCGTCGCCAGACTCTGCGCCCCAGAGAGCTAGACGAGGCGCCGCGGCAGAGCGCTGCGTCGCGGAGCGTAGCGTCGAGTCTCGAGCGCCTTTGCCTTGAGTGTCTCTTCCAGGGAGCTGGGAGGAAGGTCCGCGCGCTTTTTCATCCAGCAGGCATTAGAATAACACCTGTACGATCGGAATGAGTACGGAAAGAATTGGGACGAAGATGAACAGCAGCTCTCGTTCATTTTGAGCAGGGATCGCTGTCAGTGCCGCAGCGGGCCTTGTCCATTTGTGACAGAAGGCTCTGCCAGTTTTGTTCAACCTTTGCTACTGGGCATCGTGCACATTTTCTCCGAATTCATCTCGGGCGTCCAGAGAACAGCAAACGGCATTAGCGTGGACTCTCGGAGGTCCGCGCGGATTTCTTGGATCGGCGCTGGCCCCACCTGGCGGCGCCTCCGGCGCCGCCTCTGGCGCGCTCTGTGCACCAGGGAGGGGGGTCCAACGCCGATCTAACAACTCCAAGCGGACCTCGTAGAAAGCATACTTCGGCCTCCTTTCACGTCTAACGCATGAAGGAGATGTATCATGGATAACAGATTTTCCTTGGTTTTGTTGAGCTTTCAGGATCGTGAGGATATCCCGTCTCTTGGACGCGTGACTGCGTAGTCACGAGGCAGGGTGAAAGGCAGGTCCTTGGAGATCGCGGCAGCATGAAGGTGGAATGAACGCCTTTCATAACACGCCACGCACGTCATACTAGTGCCCACTGATGAGGAAGAACGACCATACTACACGCTCTCCCTCCCCCAGCGAAGCGGGCCACACAGGCTAGCATGCATTCTAACACTGGTCGAACGTTTTCCAACCGAAGTCATGGTATCCTGGATGAGGGACGAACTGAGACGAGCAGCACGGCGGTCATGGTGGCTTTGGTAGGTTCGCATCGTATCGACGCGGTGGCGACCCCGCCGCGGGCGTTCCAGGTTGAACGCAGCCATTGGCCATTCGTCCAGCATTGAACGATTTGCATCATCGGAGCGCCGCGACCTTTTGATTGTCTCCCCTCTTTGTCCCGTCTCTCCGCCCTCCAGGGGAGGAGGGGTAGGGGGATGGGTAACCCCTCCCCGGATAGGGGAAGAAAGGGCTCTGGAATAGTGAGGAAAGTTGTTCGTACCGCCCGGCTGACACGAGGCCGCCGAGCGTCGCTAATTGCGACAACCTTCTGCTTGCAAGCGCGGTCAGAGCACGTGTGGAGGAGCCTCACGCACAGGCTATGTCCGCGGACCAGCAGGGCCTCGTACCAGGCTGCTCCATGTGATCCAACGTGGTGGACGTGGACGAAGCCATGCAGCCTGCAGCACTGGAAAGCGACGCTGGGGCGGTCTGGTTCTTTGATTTCCAGGCCCGTCTCGAAAGGCATCTTGGGAATATTTGAGGCGTCGGAGGTGCCTTTGAATGCCTGGGGAACCCAAGAGGTGCCTTGATGAGCTCGTCGCCCCCCCCCCCCCCCCCCCGGACGGGATCCGGGCCACGGGGGAGGGGTAACGAGGGGGAGCGTCGCCCACGCCTTCCTGCTGCGGGTGCTCGCCGCGGCGGGCCTTCCCGGCTGACCCCTGCGATTGTCCCGCCTCTGCACGGGAACAATCGCTGCCGCCTGGTGGTGGGCGGGGCAGGGCACGAGGGCCTCGAGGCGCGGGCAGGCATCCGCCAAGGGTGTCTGCTGCCTCCAGTCTTTTTTGCCGCGGCAAGGAGTCGTATTTCAAGGGAGGAAAAACCACCCCGACCCGATGATTGGCGTTTGCTACGCGACGCGGCCTTGGGCGTTGACTAAGCCGCCGTGCCTTGTTCGATTCCTCGTCTGGGCGCGTTGACTAGACGACTTCGCGCGTCGGGGTTGTGATTATTGGGGTCGATTTTTTGACCTCTAAGATTGCTCCGGCGCATGCAGCGGGCCACTGCCGGGTCTCACTCCGCGGGTTTCTGCTGACGGCGTGGCCTCAGCGGCTCCTGGCATGAACACAGCACCTCCAGTTCTTCATCAGCTCTTCGCTCGCGGAGCTCGGCCGCCCCTCTGCCCTACATCGCAACATGCCCAAGACGTACTCGGTTCCCTAGTTCATGGCGAACTATGACACAGTCCTGCAAGACTCGCTACAGATGCAGCCCGGGTGGGGGGGAGTCGAGTTGCTCCGCGCGCCCATTGCTCGGGCTTCGAGCTGGGGCCGGGTTGCGGCCACGCCGCCTTCGCAAGGTTTTTGGCCAAGCTGGAAGAATGGGCGCGGTAGTGGGGGGTTGCCAGGGTCAGTTCGTGTCTCACCACAGTGGCAGACGACCTTCGTAGCTTCAGTCGCGAGTTCCGCATCGCAGCTGGGTTCCTTACCGCCCACATGGGAAAAAGTGGATTCGAGGGCTTTCGTTTTGCTTGTCCCTGGCTCCTTGCTCTGGGCTTCCCCATCGGATTTTCGGCAGCTGCCCCGTCTCGGCTTCACGCGCGGTCTCGTGGACCTGCAGGTGCGGCAACTGGCGGCCAAGCTGTGCGTCGCGCGTTTGGAAGCGCGGGCCTCGGACGGTCTCGACGTGAGTCGAAGGGCGGCTGGAGTCCGCAAGTGTCGGCTCAACGTGGACCGCGTCCACGTGTCCGCAGCGTGGGCCGACTGGTTCCTTCTCTTCTCCAGCGGGATGGCGCCGTAGCGGAGGCGCAAACACTTGGCGTCACCGCGGCAATAGAGGAGTTGCGCATATTGGGGGAACTTTGTCGCGAGGCCGTTCACGCATTTACAGGATCGTCGTGGCCGCTGGCAGTTGCAGGCGCGCCAGGCCGCGGTGTGGACGCAGGAGGCGCAGCAAGGGGATTGGGACCCCCCCGCGTCCGGCACAGGGTGGGCCGTTGGCGGGCGGAGCTGCCACTGGATGTGCGTTCTGCGCATGGCACGCACATCCTCCGAACCCTGGGCAATAGGGTGCCTGTTCGAGTGTGGGCAGCCTTTTTCGCTGCGCGGCGGACGCGACGGCCCCGCGGGAGCACTGCGCCGAGTGGCGATGCGCGCGCGCGGCGGTCGCGGCGGAGCTCGGGCTGCAGCCGCCGGGCACGACGGAGGCCCGCCCCCAGGGAAAATAATGATAGTAGATGTATGGATCGGGTTACATGTGCACGTGCGTTCGGAGCCCGAACGAAGATACAACTTTGCGAGAAGATGTATGTGCACTAGCTTGGTAGTGTATGTGTACTTGCCGCAATCGGCGCGCAACCGCTAGGACTTTTCTGCTTCGGCGTCTTCAGGCATTTGCTAGAGACAAGTTTTTCCTTTCAGCTTTTGGTGTGCAGACATGCCGCTAAAACAAATTCACCACCAAGGTCGTAGAATTTGTTTGTGGTTGCGAGCTTCAATTTTAGCTTTTTAACTGCAGCTTTATCTCCTAGCTCTAACTTGAGCTTCAGCTGCAACGCGATGGCGCCGTAGCGGAGGCAAAAACACTTAGCGTCACCGCGGCAATAGTGGACTTGCGCATCTTGGGGGGAGTTTGTCGCGAGGCCGCTCACGCATGTACAGGATCGTCGTGACCGTCGGCAGTTTCGGGCGCCAGGCCGCGGCGTGGACGCAGGGGGCGCAGCAGGGGGATTCGGGGCCCCGCGCCCGGCGCAAGCTGGGCCGTTGGCAGGTGGAGCTGCCGCTGGATGTGCGTTCTGCGCATGGCACGCACATCCTCCGAACCCCGGGCAATAGGGTTCCACTTCGAGTGTGGGCAGCGGTCTGGCGTGCCACGCGGAACGGCTGGCCGACAGCCCGGCGCACTCAGGGCCGCGAGGGCCTTCCCAGCAGCCTCTTTCGCTGCGTGGCGGACGCGACGGCCCCGCTGGAGCACTGCGCCGAGTGGCGATGCGCGCGGCGGCCGCGGCGGAGCTCGGGCTGCAGCCGCCGGGCACGACGGAGGCCCGCCTTGAAGAAAAGAAGGAGAATAATAAGAAGAAGAATGATGATAATACCTGCTTCTTCACTGCAGTCCTCGGAATACGTGCGAAGTGCGCTCGGATCCCGAGCGAAGATACAAATCTTCGAGAAGATGTATCTGCACTAGCGTGTTACTGCATGTGTACTTGCCGCAATCGGCACGCAGTCGCTACGCCTTTTCTGCCTCAGCGCTTCTGACAATTGCTAGAGAAATCTGGCTATGTAATGTTCAACGTATGATGTGTAGACATGCTGCTACAGCAAATCCACCAACGCGCTCGTAATTTTCGGTGATTGCGAGCTTCAACTTTAGCTTTGGCTTCAGTTCTCGCTTCAGCTTGAGCTTCAGCTTCAGCGTGATGGCTCCGCAGCGGAGGCAAAAACAATTGGCGTCACCGAGGCAACAGTGGAGTTGCGCATCTTGGGAGAGTTTGTCGCGAGGCCGTTCATGAACTTACGGGGTCTTCGTGACCGTCGGCAGTTGCAGGCGCCAGGCCGCGGCGAGGATGCAGGAGGCGCAGCAAGAGAATTTGGAGACCCGCGCCCGGCACAAACTGGGGCCGTTGGCGGGTGGAGCTGCCACAGGATGCGCGTTCTGCGCATGGCACGCACATCCAAATCCTCCGAACCCTGGGCAATAGGGTTCCACTTCGAGTGTGGGCAGCGGTCTGGCGTGCCATGCGGAACGGCTGGCCGACAGCCCGGCGCGCTCAGGGCCGCGAGGGCCTTCCCAGCAGCCTCTTTCGCTGCGCGGCGGACGCGCCCGACCCGCTACGCCGAGTGGCGACGCATGCGCGCGGTGGCCGCCGCGGAGTTCGGGCTGTAGCCGCCAGGTACGACGGAGGCCCGCCTGGCGAACTCCCTTCGGCACAAACGAAATGCGTACGGAAAGAATGGGTACGATGCCCAACAACAGTTCCTGTTCATTTTGAATAGGGTTCGCTGTCCGCGCCGCCGCGACCTGTGTCCATTTGAGACAGAAGGCCGCCTGCCCAACAGCGGCCGCTGTTGGCTTGGGACAGCAACTGTTGTTGGGCATTGTATGAATTTCTTCCGTGCCCATTTCGGGCGTCCACATTCTTCGGGTTGGATTTCGGTTTGCAGGGCGACTTCGACGCGGCGGTCCCCGTGGCCTTGCGGACGGCCGCGGTCCACAAGGCGCATTGCCTGTGCCGGCACGGCCGCCTTCGCTGCGGTCCTGCCGCAGCGGAAACCATGCGGCAGACTTTGCAAGAAGCCGTCCACGGCTATCGCGGGGCGGCTGGGGCGCATGACGCAGTGCAGGGACGGAATTGAGTCAGTTGCGATTGGAAGCAAAGTTGTTGCTTCGTTCTCTCTCCCTCTTCCCCGCCCTGTGCTGAACGACCGCAGTTTTTCGGTTGGGAATTCGTGAGTTTACCCCGACAGCTCATTCAGCCTACGGCGTCCCGCTGGTTTCTGGCCGTTTCCCTACCTTTTTCCCCCCTCCGCCGTCTGGTCGTCCCTCCCTACCTTCCTCCCTCCTTCCTCCGCGGTGCCGCGGCGTCTGGCAATCCAGGCCAGCCGGCGCGTGCCAGCAGTGGCCTTGCGCGCGCCGGTGGTGACAGGCCGTTTCCCCTCCCTCCCCTCCGTCGTCCGCCGTCGGTGTCCCTCCCTCCCTCCCTCCCCCTGGTGGAGCCGCAGCACCTTGCAGACCCGGCCGGCTGGAGGGTGCCACAGCTTGTGCCGCGGGAGCGCCGTCGGTGGCATGCCAGTTCTCCCTTTCCTTCCGCCCCTCCGTCGTTCGCCGTCGGTGTTTTTCCATCCCTCCCTCCCTCCCTGCACCTTGCTCCGTGGATGGATCTGCAGGGTCTCGCAGTCTCGGCCGAATGGCGTGCGCCAGCTGGGGCCCTGGGCGCGCTGCTCGTTGCAGGCCATGTCGTGTGACCCCCAGCGGCTGCTATCCAGGGCGGCCCGGCGGAGTAGCATCGAGCATGGGACGCGCCACATTTGGTTGGGCATGTCCATCCCTCTGTCTTCCTCTCCCCCATGCGGGGGACTTGGCGATATTCGCCGGATGCATGCGCGCGCGGCGCACGTCGTCGGCCTTGCGACCGCGATCGGCCGACCTCGCGGCCCCGATCTTTTCGGCCCATCTGCCGTTTCACGGCCTGCGTGCCCACCACGCGAAAGGGCGCTGTGGTGGGGCGGTATTTTTTTTTTTACCATAAACATCGCTTCGTTATTATTCATATGTTGGTGAGTGATTGCGCCCAACTTGCCATAGTGCTGGCCTTGGCTATTTCTGTTTTGTCTTGCTTCTTGTTCTCCCTTGCCTTCTCCCCTCTTTCCTCCCAGCGCTGCATTCCATGTTCTGTTTGAATGCACTGTTTGTCCAGGCGCCCGCCTGGAATAATTTCGGTTACGTGCGCAGGACGGCCTGTCTTGCTTCGTGCGGTGTGAGTTCACTGCCCGTTGTTCCTCCCCCTTTCCTCGTCCCCTCCCCCTCCTCCTTTTAAGTCTCTCCTCCTCCTCTGCCCTCTGGCGCTGATGCGTTTTATTTATAGATATACATATGTGTGTATACATATTTATATATAAATATATGCGAATCCGTATCGTTCCATGCTCTATTTCTGATGGCCGCGGCGCAGTGAATGACGAATGGATCGGCTGTACAACATCAGACTTGCTAGTACCATGTGTGCCCAGAGGCGGAGGGGAGGAAAGAGCCGTAAGGATCTGTGTGCCCAGAGAGGCCGATGGCAACGGTCGAACACAATGACAACGCCTTCCAGCCGCTCCTCCATACTCCCCCCTCGCCTTCTTGAGCCCTTCGGTCCTCCCTCACCTAATCCTCGATCGTTCCTCATTTTTGTTGACGCTATGCAACTCCGCAGTGGCGGCTCCACCGACGCCACCATGTTCACCACGATCGCGAAGCTGCTACGGTACCACTCCTACAGTGGGAGCCCATGTCAAGAAATTTCCGTGTTGCCTCCAGGGTGCCCTGGGTTTCTCGGGTTTAGATGGTTTTGCGATGGAAAGCGTGACGTTCCCACACCAAAAACCAATGGAAGTCCTTGGGTCCCAGGGTTGGGTTTCTTGTGGAAGGTCTCTTGTGGGCTGGCCTCCGCTGTAAACCTCTACCGAGGAGAACACAAACCTGAGTGAGCAGGTCGGCAGGACGAAGGACAATCAGCAACAAATCCCTGCGTGATCGTTGAGTGTCTCGCGACGGTGTCTGATTCCCCCTGCGTCGAGGCGCTGGGCTCCAGAGGGCTGGAAGTCATCGACGTCTCTGACACTACCCGCACCAAGGCCAATGAGGCTTGCGAGAGGGCGCGCCGGTTCGGCGCGCTAGCATGCCGCGCGTGCGCGGTCGGCCCTTTCGCCACGCAGTGTTGTTTGCTTCCTTCTCTCCCCTCTTCGCCCCCCCTCCCTCTCTGTCGTCCTGTGGGCGTTTTCTGATGATTCCAGGCAGGATCCACAGAAGAATCCGACCCCACCGACACGCAGGCCGTGGAGCAGTTGCCGCTGGACTGCGGCGGGAGGAGATCAGTAGTCGCTCTGCCCACGCCCACGGTGGGCACCGCGGAGCGGTTGCTTTCCCAGCAGCATGCCAGTGCAGCGTTGCCCCTCAGCATGTCGGAGCCATGAGTCCGAGGCGGGGATTGATTGGTCCATAACCAGCGCTTGGGGGAATCGATCGGACCTCGGCAGTCGGTTTCTGGATATATTCGGGCTCAGGGGGGGGCGGGGGGCGGCAGATGTACCCATACACACCGTTTGACGTGGTCTACGAAGGTCGATCCCCAAGACGATGGTTATGGATACATCCCAGCCTCGCAATGCGGGAAGCGGTGCAGAAGGGTTGCCATAACTCGGCCTTGGCCCCGAGAGAGTGCACCGCCATGGTACAGACCGACACCGAGATGCGTACAAGGCACACAGTTTTCGGAAGCAGCTCGAGCTCGAAACTGGGCTAGATCGTTTGCATTGATTTTCCCTCCTGCTCGAACAACTGACTGAGCTCGGCAATCGAGCGGCACTTAGCCGACCTGTGCACCCAGATCGGTAGGGCATCCATCGCCGCCCTGGTTGGCACCCCTTCGCCAGCGCTGAGCCTGCGGGGCCTGCATAGCGCACCGTGCCTGCATGGTCTGCGGTAGCAGGTCAGCAGGTTGTCCCAGCCGTCGTTGGTCGGTGGGTGGAACAGCTCGACGCCGCTGGGCGTATACTGTACCACCTCAGCTCCAGAGCCTGTCGCTCTCGTAGCCGCCAACGCAGCTGCCAAACGGGCTCCATTCGCGCCAAAATGGCGCGTCCTGGCCTTAGCCTTCGCCTTCGCCACGGGCTCCTTCTCGAAGGTGTCGAGCAACTCCTCTCCTGCCTGGTCCAGCTCCTTCTCGCGTTGCTCCATCGCGCGCTTGGTGAGCTTCTTGCCGGCCACGAAGTCGGGGTCGTAGCGCAAGGCATGAACTCCACGGCGTAACGCATCCGCCATCATCTGGCGCGCCGAAAGCTTGGTGAGCTCGTCCGTCATCTGCTGCTGGGTGTTCACCCACTTCCACCCGGCGTTGACCTCCGCCAGCTGCTCGTTCACGATCTTCATCTCGATGGCCGTCCTCTTCTCTGCGATGCCCAACCCCGCCGTAGCTGACCGCGAGGCGTCGTAGAGGCACTTCGCGTCTGTGATGAACGGTGACTCTCCGAGCTATGTCATGGCGGCGTCATGTCCGAGGTCGGGCCTCAGACTCAGGGCCAAAAAGACCTTCACCCACATCAGCGAGTCGGCTCCCATCGCCGCGGCTTGTGCCTCGGCGGACAGTGAGCTCTTGCACAACCGCACCAGCTTCTTCGAGGCCCACTCCATGGCCACGAACGGCGTCGGGGCGCCGGCGCCGACACCTTGGATTCCTTCGGCAAAAGGGCCACTGCCGCAACCGACGCGTGCATCCCGACCGCCAGAGACCCGAACGAGGGCCGCGAGCTCAATAAAGCAGCCGTAGTTGATGAAAAAACACATTGTTACCGCTCTCCTTGTTTTCCTGGCCGCGACACCTTGGATTCCTTCGGCAAAAGGGCCACTGCCGCAACCGACGCGTGCATCCCGACCGCCAGAGACCCGAACGAGAGCCACGAGCTCAACGAAGCAGCCGTCGTTGATGAAAAAACACATTGTTACCGCCCTCCTTGTTTTCCTGGCCGCGACACCTTGGATTCCTTCGGCAAAAGGGCCAGTGCCGCAACCGACGCGTGCGTCCCGACCGCCAGAGACCCGCCAGAGACCCGAATGAGACCCGCGCGATCAATAAAGCAGCCGTGCTTTATGAAAACATACACATCGTTACCGCCCTCCTTGTTTTTGTGGCCGCGACGCCTTGGATTCCTGAAGCAAATCGGCCGCCGATGCAACCGACGCTTTTGTTTCGACAGCCTGAAGTCCAGAAGAGGGCCGCCGGCGAGTCCGAGCAGCCGTAGCTGATGAGAAAACATATCGTTGCCATTCCCCCCGCCCCCGTCGCCGCCAGACCTTGGATTCCTTGGGCAAATGCCACAGGCACGAAAAAGACCAATCAGAAACATGTAGTAGCAGCTGTACGTGCTGCGGGATCCTGGGTTCCGACAGACGTGCCATTTTGGCTCAAGGCGTCCGCCGCTCCTGCGGGCAACAGGCGCGCTGACGTTGACACCCTCCCCTGCAAGGCTTCCAAGCGATGGCCGCCCGCGGCGTTGTCGCCGAGGCAGCCAACGTGCCCGCCCAAGGCATGAAGTCGCTCGGCGTCCACATGTGCGTCGAGGGCATGACGAGCGACGTGCTCGTTGCTGCGTGGGATAGGGCGAAGAACTTGAAAAAGGCCACCCCCCTTGGCAAGCCGAAGATCGACGGCAGTCTCGACCGCAAGGGCTCGGTGGACGTTTACGACCTGCCCGTCAAGCCATGGAGCGCTCGCGGCAACGCCTCCATAAAGTCCGTTGTCGACATCGTCACTGACGTCGACGCCGCCGAGATGGCCGCTGTGGACTGGGCCAAGGTCAAAGACATTATGGCAGAAGGCAAGTACAAGGAATTGCCGCCGCCGTTCTGCTTCAGCGACCCGGAGGCAGAGCCCCCTTGCACGATGAATCTTGCCGTCACACAGAGAGTCGCAGACGGACTCCCAATCGTCGTGAAGTGGATTCAGTTCATTGGCGGGGAGAAGAGCCCCTTCGTGAGGGACAGCATTATCCGCGGCAACATGCACGTTTTGGACTGGCGCAAGGACGTGTTCAACTCTGCCCGCACGATGCAGATCCTGTTCGAACGCCTCGGTGGTGTCCAAGCGCGATACTGGGAGTTCGTGAGCGCGCCCGCGCCCAGAGCTGGCGGCGGCGACGTTGACGTCGATCAGAAGAAGAAGGAGCTCTCGGCGGGCATCCAGCACATTAAGGACGAAGCCCCACGCACAAATGCTGACTGCGAACAGCTGGAGTGGGTAGAGTGCGAGCTGGTGGACCCTTCGTCGCCAATTCACAACCTCAGGCGGGAGCTCATCAACGCGGTCCTCAAGGTGCTGCGGGACCGCGACCATTTCGCCAACAAGCTGGTATACTACCCCATCCTGCTCCCAGATGTCCGCGATGAGTACCAGGGCGCCATGCGGCGCGCCATGGAGATGCTGGACACCAACACCGCCCTGTGCGTGGGCGAGGCGGGCTTCGGCAAAACGCCGTTCATGATGTCGATGGCCATGGCCAGCGCCAGGCACAACGCCGACGCGGAGAACAGGGCGACTGGCCGCGCCGACGCGGTGGCCGCCGTGCGGACAGCGCCCGACATGGATTTTTTCCGCGGTGAAGTCGGGCAGCGCTGGGTCCCTTGCATCTTCGACGACGGTGACCTGGCGGAGCAGAGGCCCAAGGTGTTGAAAGCATTCTTCGACACCACTCAGGCGGAGGCCATGACGTACGTCAGGTGGGGGGCGGCGAAATTCGTCCGCGGGCAGGCCCGCTTCGGCGGGGAGAACGAATACGACGCCAGCGCAGCGCCGACAGCTACGCAGTGGGCGCTGGCATCCACAGGCGCCGACGCCGCCCAGAAGACGACCGCCATCCTGACCGACATGCTCAAGCCAACGTTCCCGAAGAACTTCTCGCCGAGCAATGTCGGCGCTATGCTGAAACGCTGCACCGTGTTCTTGAACACTCCGACTGACATGTTCTTCAGGCTCGCTGGCACCGAGAGCCGCGTGGAAAAGCTCCCGTTGATGGATGGGTACCTCAAGCCCGAGGCGGGCAAGATGCTGCGCTCCTACTTGGCCCGCGGGGTCATGCGCGACGAGGAGGAGTTCGACAGGGTCATGGCTTACGAGAAGAAGATGGTCATGGAGATCATGGCAAAGCGCGGCGTCGAGTACGGCGTCCCCGCGGAGGCTGCAGGCCCAGTGGGGGAGCCGGCCGCGGGCGCTGCCGCGCCGCCGCCGCCGAGCTCGGCTGGGCGGATCTTTCTGGGCGACCAGGAGGGTCATGCGATTGAACGTGCAAGCCGCCCCCCCCCCATTGCGCCCCCCCCCTGGCGCCATTCCCCCATGCTACTTTTTCGCTCCAAGGGATTCGGGGTGGTGGCGGCTTGCGCGTCCATCCGCCTGGCTCGAGGAAGAGGAGGACCCGTTCGGCTTGGGCGGCTCCATGATCGGCGAGCAGGCGGAGGCGCCCGCGGCCGCCCCTGTCGTGCCGACGGCGCCGATTAAGCGGGAGCCTTCCAATGTCTTCAGCCGCAACTTGCGCCAGAACGGGCCCGTCGAGATCGACCTCTGCAGCCCCTCCCCGTTGAAGAAGAAGGTGAAGTTCGAGTCGGGCACCGTCCCGCTGCAGAAGGTGAAGCTCGAGCCAGGCTCCAGCGACGCGGTGGGGCAGGACGAGTTCGGGCAGAAGCCGCCGAAGCCGCGCAAGCTCTCCCTTGTCTTGGGGGACATCATGGCTCATG